ATATATATACACACACACACACACACACACACACACACACACACACACACACACACACACACACACACATATATATATATGTACACTATAGGTAAGATCGGGCCGCCCGACCCGAATTTCAGGTCGGGTCAGGCCTATGTTAATCATTGTTAATGTTAATCATTGCTTCGGGTTCGGGTCGGGCTTCTCTCTCGCTGACTTTTATTTTTTTTTCGAGGCCGTGAATAGTTTTGGCCACAAGAGACCGTGACTATAGGTAAGATCGGGCCGCCCGACCCGAATTTCAGGTCGGGTCAGGCCTATGTTAATCATTGTTAATGTTAATCATTGCTTCGGGTTCGGGTCGGGCTTCTCTCTCGCTGACTTTTATTTTTTTTTCGAGGCCGTGAATAGTTTTGGCCACAAGAGACCGTGGTTCGCAAAAAACAGAAGCAGCATCATCACAACACGTACTGTACTAAACTCTCGCAATGACAATTCAAAAAACTCCTTCATATATTTACGATCCAGCCGTCATTGTTCTTTTTGGTCTCACGGCTTCTCTCTCTTCAAGTGCCGCACTCGATTCTTAAGGACGTACTGCTGCTGTGGTGAATGGCTCAATTTTCAACCCGTCAAAATGACGGACGGCCTTAAATTTTCCCCGTCCACTCTTAAAAAAAATCAAGTTTAGTCCAGAGGTCTCCAAACTTCGGCCCATCACCACATTTGGTCCGGCCCCCCTGAACAATACCAGAGAGTCTTTTGATTTATTTTTCATCTTGGTGTATTTGTATTTTATCATACAGTTGGGCTTTTGCAATAAAATATTCCTTCGTTCTGAACTACTTTCATTGTTAACTATTGGTTAGTAACTATTTCATAAACACATAAAAAGTGACATTTGTTCCATCTTTCTGCGGTCTGTGCCGTTATCTAGCAACCCCAGAAAAAAAAATCCGAGACCCGCCCCTCTCAAAGAGAATGTAATCATGGCGAAAAGGTAAGGTAAGAGAAAAAAAATGATTCAGAATACAGGTAATTTAACCCAAAGTGGAGAAACGATTTTTTTTTTCAATGCAAAGAACAGGCTGGCTGTTTCACCTGTTAGGAGGTGGTGGCGAGATTCAAAGAATATAATCTGCAGAGACACTATGAATCCCGTCACAACAACAAGTACGATATTTTGCATGGCCAAATGCGAGCAGACAAACTGGAAATGCTCAAAAGATGAATGTTAGCTCAGCAAAATAAATTTGTCGCCAAGCTCAGCTGAACCAGCCATCTGTTCGGGCGAGCTTTCGGTTTGCTTGATAGCAAGCAGCGCTAAACCGTTTACTGATGGAGAGTTTGTCAAGAAAAGTTTGAGTGGTGTGTCTCAAGAAGAAATACGTGTTTAGTACCGCGAGTCTATCAGCAAGTACAATCACGGGAGATATTGAAGAAATCGCGGGTAATGTATACGCCCAGCTGCAGCAGAAGACGAAATAATTTGAATTATTTTCATTTACACTGCATGAGATCTCGGACGTGCAGGACACAGCGCAACTGCTAATTTTTATTCGTGGAGTGCAAACTTTGAGATGTGCGAGGAGCTGACAGCCCACAGAAATCTCAAAAGCACGACAATGGGGGAGGATATTTTCGGCAAAGTGCACCAAACTTTGGAAGAGTTAGAGCTGGGCTGGTCAAAGCTGGCCAGCAACACAACTGACGAGGCTCCGAGTATGGTGGGCGCGTCTCGGGGGTCTAATAGGACGCATGAACCAGGAGATGGAAGAACGGAGTTTCAAAATCACTGCCTAATTCACCAGCATGCACTGTGCTGCAAAGTGCACTACGTCACTTTTATCCTCAATACCCTCAAGTGCCATTGTTTTATGCTGCTTTTATTGTATATATCGTCTTTTATTGTATATATCGTCTATATGTTTATACTGCTTTAGACTACATTGTCTTTCACTGTTTGCTGAGGATCGAGAGAAATAAATTTCATCCATGCTACATGTCAATGTATGCATATTTGACAATAAAGTTGAACCTTGAACCTTGAAAGTATTGACTTGGGATTCTGTCATGAAGGTTGCGTTGTCATGCATAAACTTCATCAGAGCAAAGTTGATTATTATTTATTTAATAAATCGTGTAATTTATTTCCTGCCTTTTTTCTGTGAAGAAGCCGGGGAGGGTTATTTCGTTATTATTTATTTCATTAATGGTGTTGTTATTTATTCCCTGAGTTTTGTTCTGTGGAAAAAAATCCAGAAAAAGTTATTTCATTTTGTGTGGGTTTCTAGAAAACAATACATTTACGTTTCGGTATTCTTGCAGTCACACTTTTTCTGTTACAAACTGACCCCGGCCTCCCATCAGAGAAGCAAAAAGTTATGTGGCCCTCACAGGAAAAAGTTTGGGGACCACTGGTTTAGTACGACTAGTATTTTATAGTATTCCCATTGTAAATGGTCCCAGAATAACCGATGATGATGATGGTTTGAAGAGTTTGTTGTTTTTAATGAAGAAACATGTCAGCGGCTGTTGTAATGTGTATTTACCTCACACTTTAGAGATAATAGGGCAGGGGTGCCCATTACGTCGATCCTGATCTACCGGTAGATCTAGGACTTGTCCCAATTAGATCCGAAAGGTGTAGAGGAGAAAAAAAAATAAAACATTCGTGTGTCTTTGTACATGTTAGTAATATATTTTTGTGTTAATGCACACTGCACCCTAATCATCCTACCAGTCTCATTTTCCCAAAGAAAGATTTTAAAAATAAAATAAAATAAAGCATATAAATCTTTAACGTACGGTGGCGCGTGACTATGTCAGCGGAAGTTGTTAACGCTCAGCAGTCTGCAATTGCAGCTTGTGATCAGAGCTGTTGCGCTATATCTTTGATCGTCATTATTCTCATTCAGAGTTTGCTTCGTGTACAATTCACCGAGGGCACGGGCAAAGAATAGGAATCTAGAGGGCTAAGGGAAGCACTTTAAAACGGTACGTGTGAGCTACGGTAGTCAACAGGCTGCAAAAGTGCATCGCTTGGTTCCGTGTTTGGCTTCTCATCATGCCGCGCGTGTGCGTGTCCGTGCATGCGCGCGCGTGTGTGTGTGTGTGTGTGTGTGTGTGTGTGCGTGCGTGCGTGCGTGCATGCGTGTGTGTGTGCGTGCGCGCGTGAGTGCACGTGCGCGGTAAGGGGCGATCCGGGGAGGTTGGTTGAACGAAAAGTAGATCTTCGGTCCAAAAACTTTGGGTACCCCTGTAATAGGGCATGTATTAAAATCATGTGTTAAGTATTGTCAGGTAAGACATAAACTAATCAATGAGCTAAGAGGTATGGCAGTAACTTTCAATACTAGAGACATTTTACAGAGAAGTTCTTGCGTGTTAAGTTTTGAATTTCTTATTTTACAAAAGTGCTGGGTTAAATAGGAGGTTGTGAAATAGTATTATCAAGACCCACATTCCATTTCGGAAGGTGGCGTTAATGCACCAAAAGCTGTTTGCAAATCGTCAAAAGACAGAAGAAAAAGAAAGAAGAAAAAGGTTAAAGTGGTTAAAATAATCAATTTTAAACTTTAGACCACCCGCGTGCTCCCACTGTACTTAACAGTTCAATAGATTAAGTTGGCAAATAAGTATGTGAGGCTTTGTCAACGTCTTTGGGCAGTCACTGCATAATGTGTGTTTGTGTGTGTATAAATTATATACACACACACACACACACACACACACACACACACACACACGAATGTTTCACTTCACTTGCTTTATGGCATATCAGCATTTGAAAGACTTTCAAGATTAAACTAAAAACTTCCTTACTTGTAACAAAAAACTTCTTGGTTAAGTTGCAGCTGTCAAACGCAGCAATCTTCTCTTGCAGGCTGATGGCAAAAATACTGTAAAAGAGAGCCTATTAATAAAATGCCTAACAAGTTCAAAACATTCATAAAATTGAAAGAGATTCAACATACTGCTCGTTACAGTGAAGATCATAAATCTGGGTCTTGAACTGAATTGATTTGACTAGTTCCCCTGTCCTGAGTGAATACAGGTCAGCACAACAGTAAGGAGGGCTGGTTCTGAAAACACAGGAAAAACAGCAATGGGTTTGACTCTGAAAATCAAATACAGTCAGTTACTATGGATTGTTGGAGGTTTGTTCTTGTGGTTACTGACAGTCGACAGAAAATTTGCACTGCGAGTCACATGGGCAGATTGAAAATTGGGAAATATGTAAAAACTCACAAATGGCCTGTCTCTTCCGAGACAACCTGGTCCAACATTTTTTTTTAATTAAAAATGTTGACATTGCTGTTGTTTTCCTTTTAAATAGATTTGAATTCCTATATCACAGATATCTTCAAATAGTTTTGCGGCCATTTTTTTTCTCTCACATACGGTGGCCTGTATTTTGTAGTATTGTACTCTGAAAGTACCTCTTGAAATTATCACGTGACCGTGTGTTTTATCATCTCTTCGTTCACTCAACCTAATTATGAAAAATCCCTATTCCAACATTGACAAAGCCTGACATGTTGTCATCTTTATAAGGTGTTTTTCTGGTACAAAACGTATATTGCTTCGGTTCATACAACAGGAGAATGAAGTTTGTTTTATTTGTTGTGGGGTTTTTTTTTCTCAGTGCGTACTCATCATACCTTGGGAACAATTACCTCTCACAGACATAAGGCGGAACTGACCAAATGGTGTGAATGTTTTGCCCTGAACTTGTCAGAACACCTCCATACCCTTGTGGGCACACTGCTGCTGGGCAGTGAACATGCACCGCCACATAGACGAGTGAGAATCGCATACTCCCCCAGCACTTTTGCTCATGCCTTTCGGAGATAGAAAGGGCGACATGCAGCTGAGAGGATCGCACAGCCAATGATTATTTACTGATTTTAAAAAATTAACCTATAACAGTTCGCATTTGTTGCTTTGCAACGCTCCATCACAAATAAGTCATGCTAGCAATGTCGCAGCCATGCCAAAGATGGTTTGGTTGTGATGCATACAGTGCATGTTTCGTGCAAGTTCAGGTTGGTGAGGGGTGTGGCTTTGATCAGAGACTTGAGGGAAGAGACTTGAGGCTGGACGTACGCATGCGATCATGTCACCCAAGCCAGGAAGCAAGGAGTCGAGGCAAGCTTGTTCCATCTGTGTTTCTCATACAGTGAATTTTATTGACAATTTTTGGATTTTTTTTAGCAATGTCACCAAACCAATGCAATGGGATTCTTATACACACGCACACGCACACACACACACACACACACACACACACACACACACACACACACACACACACACACACACGTCTTGTGGAATGAAAGAGTTAATTGTAAATCAGAGCAAACTTGATGGAGTTATAATGCTTAGTACCCTACCTAGAGAAGTTTCCGAATGTAAATCGTGTGCTTATATTTTTTTTTTTATCTCAGCCCTGCAAATTGTGACATGCCTGACTGATGTTCCTTGTTTGTGTGACAGTGAAAATAAAGTTATATTCTATTCTTTTCTTTTCACAAAGGTAAATATCAATAAAATTGTTATACATACTGTAAATGCACTCTATTCGTACATGTTAAGATTCTCTCAGTAACACAGAATCGTAACAACCTGTTATGGGTCGCAATTTCTGACAAGAATCCAATAAACAAATAGCCGCCATATTTATGTGTGGAGTGGCTGTATAACAATCAAGTTAAATAAGCTTTAGAAATGGAAGAAAATAGGCGTACAACATATGATGTGCTGTTTTACTCACCCTGAGGATCCTGTGCTCTTGCAAACTCCGAGCAAAGGTCTCTTGTCAGAAAAAACGTCCATCTTCAGAGGACCTGAAAGAGAAGATGAATAGAATTTGTTTGCCACACAAGTACACATCAAAAGTACATGTCATCAGAAAATCATATGCAGGTCAAGGCAGGGGGTGTTCAGTTATATGGTCCCAACAGAAACTGTTTTGAGGTTACGGACATCATGCAACGGATAATATTGTCAGCTCCTTAAAATGATGAACCAAGTCAAATTTTGACAAAGTTTATTTTTTGCCTTAACATCTCAGGATCCTGGCCACCTCTGCTAAAATTGGCTGCATCCTTAGTTGAGCAGATCATTCAATTCTAGGCCTGAAAATAAATTAGTAATACAAAAAATGACTTGGGCAATAATCTTAAGGTAACAAGATCTGACAATGAAACACTCTCTGTCACCACTATAAACAGTTTTTCATTTGATTGTTATGAGGGGAGTGTTTTTAATTGAATTATTAATGTGATTCTGTCTACTGCGTTAGCAAAGGAAGGTGACTTATGTAGAAAATTGGGTTTGTTCGTAACTCTGACATAAGAACACACTGTAGTTGTCATTATAGCTCCCATTGTACAGTAATCCCTCGTTTATCGCGGGGGTTACATTCCAAAAAGAACCAGTCATAAGTGAAATCCGTGAAGTAGTGAACTTTATTTTTTATCAGTTTATACAATACTTAACTATATATACAATGAAATCAAAGACCAAAACCAGTTTTCAGGCCCAATTACAACAAAAACAAAAGTTTTCAACAAATAACTATAATAGTTTTTGGAAATACTGTACTGTCGACACGCAGCGCCGCCGGCGCGTTCTGATTTAAAAGGTTAAAAGCATTAAAAAAAATGCATTAAAAAAATACGTGAAACAGAGAATCCGCGGAAAGTGAACCGCGTTAGAGCAAGGGATCACTGTATATACTGTATATTCTTTGCATAGATAAAAAAAATCTTTATTTCATTTTGTTTCAGAAATTGAAATAATAACAATAAATATAAATAGAGATGGGACTTTAACGTGGTGATTACAATAAATAAATTACAAATAAATTATTGCATTGCATGAATAAAATGAGTTTTTTTTAATCCAAGTTTGCTTTCCAAACAATGCCGAACTTTTGTTCATGATCGAAATCATATTCAAAGTATTTTTGCAAAGTTAAAAAAATATTTAAGTCTGAGTCAATTGAGTCAGTCATAGATTAAAATCCATTTAAATTAAAAATGCTTGCGTTTTAGGAAAAATCATGTTTTTGAGCAAAATGATAAATTAATATTAATTATAAAGCCTGCAAAAAAATTTTTTATCAAGTCTGTTGTCATATTTTACGGTTCATAATGCGCCGCACATTTTCAACGGGAGACAGGCCGGTCTGGCCTGCAGGCAGGCAAATAGGCAATCATTCACACTCACATCAGACCGAATGACAACTTTGAGTGTTCACTTAACCTGGGAATGCGGGAGGAAACCAGAGTACCCGCAGAAAACCCACACAGGCACTGTTGTCTATATGTATATATGTACTGTATAGATAGATAGATAGATAGACATACAGACAGAATTTCGATGTTGGTATTTTAGTGTTTCAGGTTGCAGCAACAACGCAGTGGTCACGTGAATCACGACAAAAAACCAACAGCTGAAAATTTATGAGGAACATTACTCAATATAAAATCAATCAAGATTGATCTGTCAGGGTTTTTATAATTTAAGCGAGTTGGTGATCTTATCAACTGGGTGAAGTTGACAGAGTCAAAAAGGGATTTAAAATCATACAATCCTGGTTTGAATCCAACCCAGTTCAGATCTTCTGATCTTTACATTCATCATAAGGGGTCTGTGAGCCACGCTTTGTCTTGTCCCTCACGTAGGACCTGTTTGACATGGATGAACCTGCCAGGGTCATAAAGCCCCAGACAACCTATCTCCCAGGATCATTGGGACACAAGAATCCCTCCACCACCGTAAGGTGACGTTTGTATTATCATTGTCATCATCACCATCACCGTTGATATTATTATTATTATTATCCATCCATCCATCCATCCATCCATCCATCCTCTGATCCGCTGAACTTCACAAGGGGGGAGTCCATCCCAGCTCTCTTTGTGCAGTTGGCGGGGTACACTCTGAACAGGTTGCCAGGCAATTGCAGGGCACACATGAATGAATAACCACTTGCTCTCACAATCACACCGAGGGACAATTAAGCAGGGATGAGAGTGGCTAGTGATGAAAAAAGCGGAAGGGGGCGTGGCCGGGACCGGAGCGGGGCCACTTACAAAAGTGGCACTAAACATGCTGAAGATGAAGTGTATTCAATTTACACACTATTTGAAACTTTAACAGAAAAAAATCCCAAGATTGTTCACTATTCTTTAAAGTGAAAATTTGTGCAATTTTGCTTATGCATTCCTGGTGAGCACCAATGTGTAACTTCAAATTTGCTGCTCAAAATCAAAACTAAAAAAAGAAACACATTCCCTGCCATATTTAAGATTTGTTCATTACTTGTATTCCTAAAGTGTTGTGTAAATGTGATAAAAAAGCTGTTGATTCTTACCTCATACAGTGATAGTGAAGTCCCACACTGTTTACTATATATGGGTTATGAATGTATTTTATTATATAAAGTGGATGTCTATTTACAGTATATACAACAATATACACTTTCATGTGGTAGAATACTTTATTTTCTCTTCATTTTAAGCTTTTTAGCAAGCGCTAAAAGCTTATTGGTCCTCTCCGTCTTTTTCCACTCTCTTTTAAGCCAACTCCTCTTGTTTTTACACATGCTCCAGGCTGTCGAAAAGCGCTTGAGATCGAGTAGTTACTTTTCAGTAGAAATGTCTGTTTTCGGTGTTTCACCGAGGTTGCGTGACTCTGTAAAGCTTTCCATCCTCTCGATCCGTATAGAATGACATCGTCACACACTGTACACAGAGCTTTACCGGCGACATCGAGCTTTCTCACGAAATCCGACACAAGCACAATGGTTCCTCTTTACTGTTTCCTACTGGGGACACCGTCAGCTTTCTATCCAACCAGTCCCATCGAAATGTGTTTTTCAGATCCGCATCTATCTGACACACTTTAGCTTCGTCACGAGTCTCGATAACATTCGGCATTCGCGAGAAAAGGGTTTAGGAAGACAAACACGGATTGGTTGTGATTTGCATTTGCGAATATAGCAACCAATCACAAGTAAGACATTGGTTTTAGCCCGTATAGGAAGTAATGACAAACTAACGCTTTGCAATAAAAAAACGGGATTGAAAATGGATGCTTGCAAACGTTACTTTGGTGAGTGCTCTAAGCTGGTGCTAACGACATCAACACTGCACCTCCACAATATTATTGACTCACCACAACTTAAGACTTACGCCAAATATGACCATCTACACGAGGGAACGGCTGCTGCTTCTCAGAGACGTCCCGCTGCCAGTCCCCCCGCTCATTGCCAGGCTCCCCGACGCGATGTGCGTCCGCGGTGCGGAACTCAACTCTGCGGTCATTAGGACCCAGAAGAAAAAAAACAGACGGAGCAAAAACAAAAAGGGAGGACTCCGGGCAAGGCTGCAGCGCGAGGGCTGGAAACAGCGTGCACTACCAGCGATCATTCTCGCTAATGTCCGCTCGCTACGGAACAAGACTGACGAGCTCCAGCTTAAGGTGAACAGCTGCTACCAATACAGGCGCGCTTGCATCCTAGCGTTCACTGAGACCTGGCTCAGAAAGGATGACACCGACAGAGCCATGCACATCGATGGATTCGGGTCTCCCATCAGGCTGGACCGTGACGGAGACGCCGCCGGTAAACAACATGGCGGTGGCATGTGCCTCTATTTCAACACTCGCTGGTGCTCCACCTTCCACGTGAGGGAGAAACTGTGCACCCCAGACATCGAGCTCCTCGCTGTGTCCTGCCGTCCTTTCTACCTGCCCAGAGAATTTCCCCAACTCTTCTTCATCATCATTTACATCCACCCCAGAGCCAAGCCCACCATGGCGACCGAACACATAAGATGCACCCTCAACAGACTGGACCACCTTTCCCCTGACTCTCCCAAATTCATCATGGGAGATTTCAACCATTGCAACCCAGAGAAATCCCTCAAAGGCTTCAACCAGTACATCACATGCACCACCCGCCAGGGGAAGACGCTGGACAAGTGCTACGGCTCCATCCCTGATGCATACAAGCCCACCATCCTCCCCCCCTCGGTTCTGCTGATCACCACACCATCCTGCTCCTCCCTGCCTACAGACCGGCCATAAGGAGAGTAGAGAAGGTAACCAAAACCATCAAACAGTGGAGACAGGTGAGCATCACCACCCTCCAGGGGTGCCTAGAGTCCACGGATTGGTGCAACCTTCTCTCCCCCTCCGACGACATCAATGTCCAGGTGGATATAGTCTCCTCATACATCCACTTCTGTGAGGAAACCATCATCCCCTCCAAGACTGTCACCATCTTCCCCAACAACAAACCCTGGATCACCAAGGAGCTGAAGGAGATCATCAACAGGAAGAAGCGCATCTTCTTCTCGGGCACCGAGGACGAGAAAAAGGAGATCAACAGGGAGGTCAAGAGAGCCATCAAGATCGCCAAGCTGCAATACAAGCGCAAGGTGGAGGAGAAACTTAATGGCGGTAACCTCCGTGCAGCCTGGCAGGGCCTGAAGAAAATGGCAGCTGTGAACACCATCACCAGCACCGCCCCCACCGTCATCCCTGGGAGCAGCCCAGCCTCCCTCGCCAATGACCTCAACTCCTTCTACACCAGGTTCGAGATTGATAACTCCACGCAGCTCACCAACATCAGGTCCCACCTCCGGCCCGGCAACTCCACAATCACATTCCGCACAAAGGACGTTGTGAGGGCTCTCAAGAGGACCAAGATCAACAGTGCACCAGGAGCCGACAACGTCAGTGGCCGGGTCCTCAAGTACTGCGCTGACCAGCTCGGGAGCGTCTTCCAGCTCTTATTCCAGTCCTCCATGAACACCGCCACCGTCCCTAAGCTGTGGAAGCACTCCACCATTACCCCCATTCCCAAGAACAATAACCCCAAGACCCTGAACGAC